CTCCTCCTCCTCCTCCTCCTCCTCCTCCTCCTCCTCCTCCTCCTCCTCCTCCTCGGAGCCCCACAGGGTAGCAGCAGATCAGACCTTTGGAGCCCCTGGAGGCCACCTGCTCCTGCCATGGAAGCCAGAGAGGGAATGTGGCTGGCCTAGGGTCCCACGGCGCACAGAGACCGAGCCGGGACCGAAACAAGGGGCCTCCAGCCTTGGCCTCAGGCCACACTTCTCAGGCGGCTCCTTCCACTTGAAACCTGCCGATGACACTCGCTGTCCTTGATCCTAGCCCCCCACAGACTTCCCCATTAATGCTCACAACTGCTCGACTGCGCAAATGCTACCATCGCCATTTCTCAGGCTTGCAGAGGTCAGTGACTTAGGACACAGCTTACCTGTGCTGGAGCCCGGCCCAGGACCCGGGTCCAATTCAGAGCTTGTAACTCAACAGGCACTGGTCCACCCACCTGCCTCTTCAGCACATGAACTCCTCTTGGGAAGCAGCAAAATCAAAACTTTAAAACCACGTTCTGGGGCGCTTGGGTGGTTCAGTTGTTAGGCGTCTGCCTTCAGCTCAGGTCATGATCCCGGGGTCCTGGGATCGAGCCCCACATTGGGATCCCTGCTCAGCGGAGACCCTGCTTCTCCCTCTCCCACGTGCCCTGCTTGTGTTCGCTCTCTCTCTCTGCGTCTCTCTCTGTCAAATAAATAAATAAAAATCTTAAAAAAAAAATAAAACCACTTTCTGATCCAGGCACGTGATGGATGGACATTCACAATAACCAATATTTACTGAGCACCTGCTATGCCCAGACAGTCAGAAAACAGAAGTATAAAAGACCTCTGCCACCAAGCAGCTTTCTCTCTGGAGGGGAAAGGAACATGTCAATAAATAATTATAATTCAGTGTGATAGATGTTGTGAAAGGCAAAGGACAAGTTGCTGAGGGAACCCACAGGGGACTGGAGGGATCTGGAAGGCCTCCCAGACGAGCAGGCCTTTGAATGGTGCCTGAGATGTGACTGAGTCTGCCACACAGATGATGGGGAAGGCAGTGCTCTGGGCGGAAGATACAGCAGGGAGATGGCTCAGAGATGTGACAGGGGCAACGCACCTGAGAGCCAGCAGGTATGTCAAGGAGACAGGGATGCAGGAGGCTGTGGGAGAGAGCCTGGGAGCTTGGGGAACCCAGACAGGTCAGAACTGCAGGTTCCAGGAAGGACTGTGTCTGCCAGGCCGGGGGGTTTCCATTTAGCCCAAAGGCCGTGGAGAGTGCTGCAGGCTGCTGAGCAGACGAACCGTGACTTCAGTGGGTTATTTCCAGGGCTCCCTTATGGCCACCTGGGGTCATGGCAGATAGCTGGGGGCTGGAGGGTGGGGGATGCAGGACGGGATGCAGGGGCACCCTTGTGGGAGGCAGCAGTCTGGAGGGTGGCAAAGAACAGAGCACAGGAAAACCGCCAGTGTTGGGGGCTCTGGCTGATCCCTGGGTGTGGGGTGGACCGGGAGACACTCATCTGTGTGGGGGAGAATGTGGTGTGAGGGTGGGAGAAAGCCTCGGCTTTGTGCTTGTGGAACTGCATGGGCCACAGTCATTTGGGTCAAGATCTAGGCTAGAGCTGGATGTGGAATAGGTGGGTGGAGTTGTGGGTAAGGGGGCCAGAGAGAGTGCGAGCACACCGAGGGGAGGGTGCAGGGTGAGGCCTGAGGGCCCCCTCACCCACAGGCAGCCCGAGGAAGGGGCGCAGGAAGAAAATGGACAAAAAACAAGGAGAGGGCAGGCTGCTGTGTCCAGAGTGGCTAGACGTCTGGGGCCTGAGCTGCAGGTCACTTGAGCTCTCAGCAAACATTAACCAGGGCCTCCCAGGAGCATAGCATCTTGGAAGGGACTTTCCTGGAAGACTTCCTGACCAGCAAAGCCTCCACACCCACAGGGGGCCCCGACCTGCTGCGTGAAAATAGGGATCACAAGAAAAAAAATGAAGAGGTGGAGGAGAAGAAAAGAGAAACACTGACATACACTCAGACAAGGTCAGGGAAGAGTCTTCGGACTTTTCAACACTTGTCTTTCTGGCTTCTTACTGGTCATCCTTTTCATGGGGACAAGAGGCCCAGGTGGCTGCAGGACTGACCTTGTCTGGGGTTCAGAAGTCAGGTCAGCCAAGGACTCTGCTGTCCCCTTTGTTGCCAGCAGCCCCCTGGCAGCCCCCCACCCCCAGCAGAGCAGAGCAGCCAGGACTCAAGGTCACATCTGGGGAAGGGTGGAGGAGGCGCTGGAGGAGATGCGCCGGGGGCCCAGCCCTCATCCCCAGCATCATGGGGTCCCTCCTTGGAATTGTGCTTTCTCAGTCCCACTGGAGAACTGACCCCTGGACCTGCCCCCGAGTGAGCCAGCTCCTTCCAAATGCCCATGACACTTGGGGCGTTGTTGTTCAAACGACCTTCTGCCTTGTGGTGTGGCTCTTTTGGTAAACAGAGTCACCACCCACATCATCACCACTGTTCACTGAGCACTCACCAAGTGCCGGGCCCTGTACTGAACACTTGATATAATTTTCACACTTAATCTTGATATTAGTACCCCAGGCTCAGAGAGGTAAAGTAACTTGCCCAGGGGCACACAGCTCCTGAACACCAGCTGGAATCCAAATGCAGGTTTGTCCAACTCTGAAGCTAAAACCCTCAACCACTCCTTTGTGTAGCCTTACAGAATTTTTATCCAGGAGGAGACCCTAAGGATGATGTACACCAGCCCCCTCACTTTTCAGAAGTGGAAACTGAAATCCAGAGAAGTCAAGGCGAGACTCTGATACCCAGTGCTCTGTGTCAGGCCTGTGCAAACACAGTGTCGCCCGTAGACCAGGACTGGCACGGGGTGAGTCAGGAAAAGGTTAGCCCCCTCCTTCTTCTTTATACTTGTGGATTCGCCCCCATTGAACTGCAGAGTATGCCTGGCATGGAGCAGGTGCTCCAGAAACAACCATTGGCTGAAAGGGCACCCCCTCCGCAGGTCCTGAGCTTCCTGGGTGCAGCTAGGGCTGTTGGAACATCAGAGGCCACTAGATGGAACCAGATGTTCAGTGATGGAAGTTAAGTGCGTCCTGTCTCCCCTCCTACCCACTCCACCCTGCCCAAGACCTGGTCCTGTCTCCCCTCCTACCCACCCCACCCTGCCCAAGACCTGTCCTCAGACTCTCCGCAGCTGTCCAAGGGGGCAGTCTGGAGATGTGACGGTGGGTTCCCAGGGGCCAATAGCCCGGGGTGGGGGGGGGGGGCGGGGGGCGGGGGTGGTGGTTCACTTATCCCCTACCTACCGTTTCACGCCACCCTTCCTGAGGGCACCCAGAACAAGTCCCCCAGAGGTCCTCTTCTCTTATCCCTGCCAGCTTCTGCTTTGGGGAGTCCTCTCCCTGGGCCAGCTGCGAGTGCCTCCCTCATTCAGCAAGCACACCAAAGCAGAAGGCAGAGGCTTCCTTAGCCCTTGGGAATGTCTCTCCCAGATCTCAGGAATTCCCCATTCCTCTCCCTGGGAATTTCCCCAGAGCTGGCAGAACAGGTAGTGAGGTGGGACAGGGTGGGAGAGAGCCTGGGACTGTCCCCTGGCACTGAGCAAGGTGAGGGTGTCTGGACCGTGGTGGCAGTGCCTTCTGGAATCGTCGGAGCTAGCGTTTCCTGGAGCAGGCTCTGCGCATGCGCTCTCCAGCGGAGTGCGCACTCTGAAACTAGCCTGTCCGGATGTAACTGCTCAATGGCTCTACCCTGACTGGGTGTGTGTGTGTGTGTGTGTGTGTGTGTGTGTGTGTGTGTGTGTGTGACTTTGGCCAAGCACTTAACCTCTCTGTGCCTCAGTTTCTCCATCTATAACTTGGGGGTAACAGCAGGCTTGCTGTGGAGGTGAAATGAGCTCAGGTAGGTAAATCACTAGCACAACATCTGGCACACAGTAAGCAAAGCGCTCGCGGCCGTGACAGCTCACTGAATTGCCGCAGCAACCTTCTGAAGCAGGGGCTCCTATCCTCATGTCACAGATTGGGAAACCGGAGCCCAGAGAGGCAGGAGAGGAATGCAGAGCCAGGTTTCCCCCTGCCAGGCTCTCAGACTGAACAGGGACTGCAGCCGGCACCAGACGAGGGCGGGGGCGAGGGGAAGTGTAGACACCTCTGACCCCACTGGATCCCCCCAGGCCAACTCTCCATACTCTGGGCTCCCAGGCCCAACAGGCACTGGAGTCCCGCTCTGGAGGACAGGCAAAGGGACTCAAACGAGACAGCGCGTTTCTAAAAGTCAAGGCATCTGACAGCTGGTTCCAACTCTGCTGCTAGCCTGCCTGTAATCTCAGTAATCACTCATTCATTTATTTAACACATACTTACTGAGCATCTACCATGTGCCTGACATCATCTTAGATACTCAGGAAAGTGGACAATACAGGCATGACCGCTGCCCTCCTCAGATTCACATTCACGTGAAGGGAAGGAGGCAGCCACTGAAGAAACTAATCACCAAACAGCATGCCGACGAAGTGTGGAGACACGGAGGGTAAGAGGATGGTGCCCTGGGGTCGTGGAACCTCTCTGTCCTCCCGTTTTCTCTGTGAAAGGTAAGGAGCATCATCTTGGCCCAGAGGTCTCCTGAGGATGCTATTGCAATGAAATGTGGGCATTTGTGAAGGCATTTGCCAAAAGAAAGACGGCCATGGTACTGTATGGCAGGGGTTCACCAACATCTGGAAACTTAGTGGAAATGCATACTCTCAGGCCCCTCCCCGACCCGCTCCATCAGAAGCTCTGGAGGCAGGCGCAGGGACCCACGTTTCAGCAGAC